GTGCTAGAAAACCAGAAGCCATCAGTTTGGTCCTCACATATATAATAATGAGGAAGTTTCACACTGGCATTCCCAGCCCAAGGCTGGCAGCACTTCCACTTTACCAAGTACTGTGTGCCCAAATACAAAGCATCTTACTACAAGATTCTGTGGGCAGACAGGAGATCATCAAACTCTGACAGGAACTTATCTAAATCCATTCAGAAGCCATTACAAAACACACAGAAATTCTTTTCCTACCTGTAGCTCTTCATTATCCAACAGTTCTCTACTTTTTCTTTGCAGAAAGACAGCTCTAGATTCTTCTCTTAATTTCTGAAGTAAGACTTCATCTTCAGCTGGCAGCTGGAAACATTGTGGCATTTTAATTTTCTGCATAGTACCATTCAAAAACTACATATCCAGCAAGTACTCTTAGGTGGTCTTGAGTCACACACTCTGATTGAAGTTATTTACTTGACAGAAAATAGCCAGTCTACCAAACTTGCTTCTGCTGCAAGGGATATCACTTGCATACTGTCTCAAACCATTTAAATAATGAAGCACATACTTAAAGCAGGACATCTTTAACAGGACAGACACAGAAGTAACTTGAGTAACCACTTTCCCTAGAAAGTGACAAGATGTGAGGGCTCACACACAGAAGAAAGACATTTACTGTTTTGTTTTGCCTGGGAGAAACAGCACATTCTGTTTTGTGGTAGGCCTGACTCTCCAAAGTGTGAACATCTACTAGACTTGTTTTGGCCAACAAATAAGATAAAAAATACATAATGTGAAAGTTCTGCCAATATTTATGTGCTGAACAGTACAGCACCACTGGAACTTAGAGAGTTGCACATATATCCATCAACTGAAACACAGGTACTCGAGAACTTAATTGGCAGAAGCATGAGACCCTAAGGAATACATGACTATGAGAGATTTGACAGCAGCTGAGTGGTCAAGTTGATGAGTGCCAGCAATATCAAGATGTTGACATGTGATCCCATCCCAATCTGATTCATCCCACAACTAAGGTTGCTGGACCAATCATTTCTGATGGATAATGCAAGTAACAGATCTATCTCCAGTCTGCAAGACCAATGACCCACCATATTCATGAAGCAGCATCCCATCATGTCTAAACAGGAACCAGAAGATATATATGTGTCACACTGGTATGTCAAAATTTAGTTAGAACATTAAGTGCCTCTGAAAGAGAACTTCCTATCTTTATCAAGCAGCCGGATGAGCAAAATATTTCACTGACTCTGATATGATTCTTAGCAATTATTTCAATGCTGAAATTCACAATCGTATAAAACAAAAAATTAGACTAAGCAATTCACTCAGAGCTCAATCTACTTTACCTTCTGAAGCTGCAGGGCCCCTATGAATGAGCACAACTTTTTTTACAACATAGAATAGCCTCTTGTTAAAAGTTTATCTGGATACTTCACTTACCCTGTAGTAAAATCGTGGTATGCTTGCATATGATATATTGTCACTTTTTTTCCCTCCTTTCCATTCCATATAATATTTTGTGAACAATTCCATTTCTTCATCCTTTAGCTCTTGTTCATTCTTTTTGGCTGATTGACACAGAAAAGAATGTTCACGGTGTACTCCAAACAGAGTTGTAATGTAATGAGGGGCTTAAAAAATAGAGTTAATACAGAGGTTTATCCGGTTGTGACGCTTAGTAACACAAATTCGAGGTGGAAATAAGCGAAACACAGACCAATCGCATAAATTACGTAATAATACGGCCCGTAAGTACTTTGAGTATGTACACAGCACCACCTTCACTGACTGCACACAGCCGACTCACTGCAAGGTATGCATTCACAGCAGCTACATGAGGATGCCTGACAGAGCAGCAGTGCCGCAGACTCAAATCGCCCTTCCGAGCGGGGCCGGGGCCGTCGCTGCGCACCTGCGCTGGCTGCGCTCCCCCGCGAGCGAACCGCTCCCCG